GACGGGGGGATGGAGCCATTTTCATCCAGGTCCCAAGGCACAAGGAACCCCAAATGACATTTGCCAAGGGGAAAGGAGGGGAGAGGAAGAAGTATCAGTAAGAGGAAGTGAGGAAAGATAAAGCGGGGGGGGGGGAGCATCCGAAAAGGGGAAGGAAAATGAAACAGATAAAAAGAGAGTTAGTTCTACGTGAGGTCGGTACAGCCACTAGCCAGTTGTGTTGGCAAATCCAAGTTGAAGTGCACTATAAGCATAAAATATGTATCAAACCTTCACCCCAAATAAAAGACATCAGTTTTGGGAGGGTGTGGGACTAGGGATTGAACCCACTGAGCTACATTCTCAGCCCTTTTTTAAAAAAAAAAAAGTTTTTTTAACTTTGAGACTAGGTCTTGCTAAATTGCTGAGGTCGGACTAGAACTTGTGATCCTCCTGCCTCAGCCTCCCAGAGTGCTGGGATTACAGATATGTGCCACCGCACTGGGAAGAACCAGAGGCTTTTCTTGCCAGAAGGAGCCCACACACCCTCCAGAACCTGTGCTCTTTGGGAGCAGCAGTCCCACCAACCATGTGACCAGGTCCCATCCTGGCCGCCACTGATTGGTCCTGCTGTGGACACCTGACTGGAGCTGGCCCAATCAGATTCTCCATAGTGGAGCCACTTGATAAACAGAATTGCTATTCAGCCCCACTCTGGAGGCAAAAATGGAGGCTCAGGAGCTGAACTGCCTACCCCAAGGCCCACTGCAAGGAAGAGGTGTACCCCACCCCAGAACCCAGCATCATCTGCCTTGGAATTTGCTGCTGTTCGGCGTCCCTAGGATACTGTTAAGAACTCTTGGGCTGTGGAAGGCACCAAAACACCCAGGACTAAGAGGAGAGGGAGAAAACCGGTCTCCTGGTAGAAAGGAACCAGTGGGCAAGATGGAAGCTGGCCAGAGAGAACGTCCCCGTGGCCAGACGCTTAAAAGCTGGGATCTCTGCAGGAATAAATTTAAAAACATCGGTGTGTTTCTGCCAACCCACCACTCCAAAGGAAGCTTCAAGTACATGGGGATTTAGGCACTGGCAGAGAGCCTCCTGTGTCGGAGACACCCGATACAGACTTGTCAAAGGAGGAATGGACGGCTGACCGCACCACGTAAAGAAAAGTGCCGCTCCCTGCTGCATCTGACAGCTTAGGCCATGGGCATCCCCGGCCCCTGCAATTTTTTTGAGACAGGGACTTGCTATGTAGTTGAGGCTGGTCTAGAACTTGCAGCTATCTTCCTGCTTCAGCCTCCCCAGGGCTGGGATTACGGGTGTGCCCCACCACGCCCTGCTAGAGGTTCAGTTTTTCTGAGGACATCCCCCAAACAGAGAGCAGTCCTGGGGCCAGAAGGGGGGGTCCCATCTGGATTTCACTTTTCCCTTTGAGACTATGTCCGGGAACCTGTGAGGCCCTGTCCCTGACAGCCATGTCCTACCAGCAGAACCAGTGAACACGTTTCCTTCCATGGCAGCCGAGATGGCAGATAGGACGGAGCGAAGGGTCACAAGGTGTGATTACTGCAGGTGATCAGGGTGGGCCAAGGCAGTTACAGAAGAGGAGGGCAAGAGATTTGTCAGAGATGTGTCACTGGAGGGAGTCAGAGTGACTTCAGGCCACGAGCCAAAGGTCGTGGCAGCCCCAGGAAGCTAAAAAAGGCGAAGGATCAGCTTCCAGGGAAAGACCAGGAGGAAGAGTCCCAGGGCTTCTTAAAACTTGAATTTAGTAGCCTTTCAGGTTGCTAAGAAGGTATGTTTGAACAGGGCACTGTGGTCATACCTGTAATCCCAACACCCTGGGAGGCTAAGCCAGAAGAAGTTTCAATTAGCAAGACCCTAGCTCAAAATAAAGAAGGGCAGAGGATATAGCTCAGTGGGAAGGCCCTGGATTCAATGCCCAGCCCCCCACATAAACAAGAAAGAAAGAGAGAGAAGGAGAAAAGAAGGAAGGAAGGGGGCCGGGGATTTAGCTCAGTGGTGCCGCCGCCTGCCTTGCAAGCACAAGGACCTGAGTTTGATCCCCGGTACCACCCCCCAAAAAAAGAAGGAAGGAAGGTACAGTATATTTGGCAAGACATGGGCTTGCTAGAGTGATTTATGGAGTTTAAATACATGTGGTATGCGAGCCTGTGAACCTGCAGTGTTCAGTACCGGGGATTAAACTGGCGCCTTTTCACTGAACTGCATCTCCAGCCTTTTAAAATTTTTAACGTTTATTTTGAAACAGGCTCTCGATATGTTGCTAAGTTGCCCAGGCTGAGCTCGATCTTGGGATCCTCCTGCCTCAGCCTCCAAGTACTACAGTGACCGGTGTGCACCGCCACACCGGGTCCACTGTCCTTTGGCAGCAGACCCTGCGAAGGTTTGCAGTGCTCCTGTCCAGAGCCTCACAGAACAAAAGCCTGTGACCCAGCCGCGACCACATCATGTTAATTGTGCTTCTTTGGAGAGGGTAAAGGGAGACCGAGGTAAACCCAAGGAGGGCGGAGGTGGGGCAGAGAGCACAGCAGTTGCTTCAGTTGCTGAAGTTCTCGGTGTTAGAAACAAGACTCCCAGGCCCGCATGCGGAGGACACACAGAGACCATGCGGCCCCCAGAACTTGGGAGGGAACGTAAAGAAACAGAGAAGGAAAAATGGGCAAGAGAGAACTTGCAGAGTGGCAAAAACGCAAACTCTGTGTGGGCAGGACGGGCAGGTGGCTTGGCCACATCTCCATTTGCTTCTCATTCGTCCTTGGCCACAACTAGGCTGGAGGGTCACGTGACCGGCTCCCGGCTCCCTTTGCATTGAGGAGTGGCCCCCTGAGAGCTTTTGGGGAAACAGCCAGGAGTCCCTGCAAATGGTTTATTTTCCCCAATAAAAGTCAAAGCTCTGCCAGCAGAAAACACTATTCTTTCATCCTTCCTCCCTCCTGGCACTAGGATGAGCTCCATGGAGGGCGGCAGCCTTCTTATGACCATGAAGCAACCAAAATGAGCACTAAGGTCTACGGTTGCCAGGTTGGGAGAGAGTTCAGGTTGTCGGTGGTCCGTCCGTCCGTCCGTCCTTCCTTCCTTCCTTTCTTGTGTCAGGGATGGAACTCAGGGCCTTGTGTTTGCAAGGCAGGCGGCGGCACCACTGAGCTCAATCCCCGGCCCTGTCAGCGGTATTTCTGAGCTATCATTCCATCTCTGGGCTTCTTGTAACTGATAACCCTCTGTCTAGGCTCTTTTCACCGATCTGAGAACTGTGCGTATTTTGTTGCTGATTATTAGCATCCAGTGCAGGAAATGTACCTGGCACAGAGTGTAAGCTTTTTAAAAAGTTGTAACTGCATAGATGATTTTCATATTTCCATAAAGCCTATTTATGCCTTCTGCAGGTGGTTTTGAGACTTACCTGTACCCTTATGCTGACCCACCCATCTTTCTTAAAACAGACAGACCAAGTTCCTTTTCTTATAGCCTGACAATTGAAACCGAGATAAGAGGTGAGAGAGACCCAGACAGGACTGGCTACTTGCGGGGTGACAGAGTGGGCCTTGGGGGAAGCTGAGATGACAAAATGGCCTCTATGACAGCATTCCTGCCACCAGCCCAGTAGATCAAGACCACACCCACCCCAGGCCCTTTGCACATCCTCCACCCAATGCCTGGGAGTCTGCCTGGTGAGCTCTCTCACCTCCTGCAGAGATCTGCGCATCACCACCTCCTCTGAGAAGCCCGCCCTGACACCCTGGCAAAAATACCCCAGCCCACCACACTCTAGCTCACCTTTTCTTTTGGAAATGCTCTTGCTGATTTTTCCATTGGCAAGTTTATTGCTCATTTCCCAACCCTAAACACTAAGCCCCCTGCAGGTGGGTCTGTTTGTTCACTGCCTGGCCTGTGGTGGGGTGGGGGTATATGAAAATAACTGCTAGCTAAGAATAGGTACAGGGGGGACAGGGTGAAAGTTATTGCACTCAGCTTTGTTATAATTTTTCTTTTGAGACAGAGTCTCGCTATGAGTTTAAACTGGCTTTGAACTGTGTGATCCAGGATGGCCTCAAACTCTCAGCAATCATCCTGCCTCAGCATTCTGAGTGCTAGAATTATAGGTGTGCACCAGCACACCCCACTTGTAATCTTGAGCTGTACGTTAGGGACTGAATTTAACTAAGGTTTAGGAAACCGATGTAAGAAAATATATAATCCAAGTATTGATTCTAACGCATTGAGATATTAAGGATGATAATTATCAGCAAACACAGAGTGCCGGTGTCGTTTCTGTTTTTTGTCTTTGGTACCGGGGATTGAACTCATGTCCTTGCACTTGTGAGGCGGGCGCTGTGCCACTGAGCTAAATCCTCAGCCCTTCTATACTGCTTTTTTGTGGTTAAACTGATTTAATTCTTACAATGACCTGACTGTCACAGACACTGCCTCCATATTACAGAGAAGGAGGCAGAGGTTCAGGGAAGTTGAGTCTCTTTCACTTCCCCAAGGCCACAAAGCCATGAAAGGGGCAGAGCCAGGAGCTGAGCCCCAGCAGTATGGTCCCGACTCAGTAGCTACTGGACCCTGGAATCATCACAGAACCCCACTCGGCCCGCCAGAGCCTCCCCATGGCCTCCCCC